AAGGTTCTTGATTTCGTAAGTCTTGCTCGTCTTTACTTATTAAAATTATTCTAGGGTTAAGATTGGCACGTCCATGAGTTGATTATGCTATCATCCTCGTAGGCTAGGGATTATGCGATATTGTTATTGATTGCGTGAGCGAGAATTGATTGAGAGATTAATTGATCATGAGTGACTATTGCTCGGTTGCATGTTCCCGAACCTATGAGGGCCTTCTTTCCATCTCGGGTCTAGGAGTACCTTGTTCTTTTTCTCTTTATTTTACTTTTTATTGCAATTTGAGGTGTTGCTTGCGATAAAGTTTGAATCTTGCTTTCGTTTTTGCTTAAATTGCGTTCTTAGCTTAATCCGAACTCCAAATCATGCGAGTAGAGTGTTTAGGAATTTTATTTTATTTTCTTGTGTGAGTCGATCGTCGTTTGAATCCGTGTCCGAATAGCCTTCCTTTGAGAACGACCCAAGTTGGGTAGCTCGGTTACCACATGCCCAAAGAAAACTACAAACAAATGATATGGAGAGACCTTTTACCATACCAGGAGTCCCTTGTACAACACACAACTCTAACTATAAAGTGGGACACAAGTTCTTGTTCTTACACAACACACGTACACGCGCAGATATACTACTAGCGTATTGCCATTGAATACCGACTGACTTAAGCATCAGAGCCTTTTCCATCGGGATCCCTCTTGACCTTTTTCATGTCATCAGAGGCGACAAAGCAGTTTGAGTCGACAAATTATGGCCCATACCAAATGAAGGGATAATTTACGCAACAGATTGGCGTTGTCTGTGAGAAGATAGAATCTTTTACCAGCTATAAAAGACTGATTTTTCCTCACCAAATTGAAGGTAGAAAATCATGGCAGAAGATAACTCCAAGAAAAATATGATAAGTAAATATATGAGGCATGGACGAATAGGGTATTTGAAGTAGGACCCCCGTTGGGGTGGTCACAGTTGGCTGGTCTCAATCTCACACCGAGAGAGACATTACCAGAACCTGGCACGACACTGCGTGGAAGACCTCCATCGAGGCAAACGAAGGGGGTTGCCACAGCAGAGCAGGTGGCCAGAGTGATGAGGAATAGAGGTAGGCTATCAGCCTAACGAAGGAGTGGACCAACAAGCTGGCTCAGGCATTAGCTGAGGTTGACCGACAAGATGGGCAAATAGTTCCAGTAGGGAAGCAGGACCCACCACGAGGTCACCAAATTAGCGATAACAGAATATGCGAAATGATCTGGCATATGGTAATATTATACAGTGGGTTTGAATATGCGAGTCATAAAACTATTCGAAATACCATTTAACGTAAAATATGAGACGTTCTATTTAAATATGTGAGTCGTAAACTATACAAAAATATCTCGCATAACATAAAATATTCGAAGTTCGATTTGTATACGCTATAAAAGAATATGCAAAATTAGCGCATAAGATAAATTATGCAATAAATTTGGATATGCAAATCGTAAGCTATGCGAAAATATGTCGCATAATTTAAAATATACGACATTCAATTTGGATATGTAATAACATATATGCGAAAAGTTATCGCATATGGTAATTATGCGGTGGAATTAGATTTGCAACTCGTAAACTATGCAAAAATATGTCGCGTAACATAAAAATGCGATGTTTGATTTGGATATATGATAACAGGATATGTGAAACTTTATCGCATATAGTAAATTATGCGGTGGAT